AGTTTTATTCTCAGGTACCAAAATTATAAAATTCTGTTATTTATTCCTACACAACAAGAAAGGAAAATCTACATTAACATACAAAACGTCGTGTTTATACGACTCAACATCCCTTCGTTTACCAGAGTCCGATATATTGTACCTGAATCGAAATGTTTTCGCGAAGTGAACTAGGTTGCCTAAAATACCCGTGATTGGTACAACTTTGTATCGCAATATTAGATGTTGAATCGTGGTTTTGCCCTTGAACTAAGGAATTAATTACAGTAAATACAATCATGAAATGGGCACCTCGTCGCCATATATATCATGAAATGTGTTTTACGGAATACGTTTCACAATATATATATGATGACGAGACGACTGAGCTTAAGGAAATATAATTTTCAAAATGTCACGAAAGTCACGGGACAATTCCTTCCAGTCTTTATTTTATAGGAACACTAAGCGACAATCGCAATGCTTGTTTTTCTAACTAGCAGATTGTTTGCTCTCAGCACCATGATGCGGGCGACGAATCATGCGAAAAGGAGTGGCTGAAATCGTTCACTCTAACCTATGAGCACCTTAGTACTGAGATCGAATCTGACCTAAGACAGTGCTTACCCTTGTGAACATTTTCTTATATTAAATAAACTGGCATAGCCTGGATGTTGAGGTTTGCTCTTGACAAAATGCAGGTCAATTTAATTTGCAAATAAGCATCACCCTCGCTAATTGATGATTTTTGTTAAATAGAACAAAGAGCTATTTCATGCTCTACTCAATTCGAAAGCTACCTAATTGGACACTTTCTGAGAGTTTAAGTGTGCAATCGTCATAGTTCCACCATTCGTTTCAGTAAAAAAAGGTGATAATAAAAACATAAAAAACGCGATAATTCTTTATATTTGAGAAGTTATATATGTGTGAGGAACACATATAGTTATTTAAATTAGCTTCAAAATAATAAAAAAAACATTATTTAAAGCTTTTCAAAATCACCTATAACGTGTCTATGGAGGATAAAAGCGCCGAAAAATATTTGCCGAACATCTTTCAGATAATTTAAAGGCGCATTTCCTTATATATCTTGGAGGTGAGGATCTTCTATTTATGCTGCCAAATCTTCAGACAGGAATTAAGTATATTTTTATTATCATCGATAAATTTGACTTTATGAAGTTCACATAACCGCCTGAGACCGACACGGAAGGACGATAATCAAAAATACGCCAGCTGTTGTGTCTTCGGCAACGTGCTTTTGTTAGCTGTTTTGCAGTGTAAAATAGTGGGTTGCAGGGCATGCCAAAAAACACTGTGGTCACATGATATATCGGAAGGCAAATACACGAAATGTGCAGAAATAAGGAGATGACACGCAATTTTTTCTAAATAATCCCTTACACAACGCTTTACTGCAAAAAGAAATGCATAGAAATGCATAAAATGATATTCCTAATTAAACATAGATTCCGCGCAGGGCAAACGAAGATTTTTTAGAATCCTAATATAAATCACTTTTGGGCATCAGCCTGCCTCAGCTCGAAATGACGCGAGATACTATTTCGGGAGGCTAATGTTATCTTAGGTTTTACGTGCACTTGTTTTAAGAACTTACTTCATGACTCTGTTATTTATCAGTCATGTGCTCCAACATTTCATTAGGCTGCCGTATATCATCGCGAGACTACTATAAATACTACACAACTTTACACATTGGACGTCTACTGCTGGTGTTGCGAACGTCGCACTTCACCAGAAAGCTGAAGTATTTAACATGGTCTGCACGTGACGTAATCGCACAAGATACTGGTTGTCATTGCGAGTTGTTCTTGCTGAGAAAATCAAATCCGGTTTGGCAAAATGCACGCTGCAAAAGTTTCGCGCTCAGTGCAAGCTATGTATTTGAGAGGCACACATTTTTCTTGTTGGCACATCCTCGTTAGGCACGGCGCGAGTATCTGGCACAACGAAAACGTGCTTTCTGGCAAGAGTGTTTTTACAAATAAAAGTTGTACCAACTACCCATCTGTCACTATCGTTTCCAGGCCACGCTTTCTAGTCTGCGCCGAAAATGTGGGGCAGAGGAATCTTTACGACACAGTATGCTTTAAAACTACCCCCCTCCCCACTCCCTTTTTTTTTTAGTTGCTCCTCAAGATACTTTTTATTCCTCAGGGATTGCCTCCTCCGTATTGAGTGGTGTTCACTCGACAATTATATTTGTGTCACTTGTTAACAGTAATTCTTCCTAGCTTTAACTTTGCACCAAACTGTGAAGGTTAAACAATATACAGGGCGGTCGAAACTTGGAGAACTTGAGAACGACACTCCTGTGAGACTTAGAGCGGCTGCCAACGTTCGGCTATCCCCCTGAGGTCACTAGGATATTTCTTTTCAGGTATCCCTCCCGTACACACTACTAGTTCCATGTAACGTCCGACTAACACGTCACATTTAGACCCTTTAACACTTCTATTCTCGGGACAACTTTCTGAGGCAGTTCAGCAATAACGAAAACATGTTTGGGAGCCTCAATGGTGTGCATACATGTAAAATGGGTCGTGCAGCATTTTTTTTTTTTTACCTTAAGTTCAATAAATACCGCTAAGTTGTAATCCTTGACGTTGATAACTTGCAAAAGCATCCATTAGTTTGCCCCTCCGCGAAATGGCAGACAGTCGAAAGAAAGAAATGAAACAGCTTTTTCCCTCCTCAACTCACAATTAGAACTATCAGCCACGTGATCTGATCCTAATATATACACCGTCAGTGTTTATCATAGTCATACGCAGGGTTGGCAAAGCAGAGAGCATGGGCTGATCTTCAGATATAATTTTAGTTGGGCTATAATGCCCGAGCCCCACTAAAGCGACAAACAGAAACAAACGACAGCGGCTAGCCTCAAACCAGAGTATTTCGCGATTTGACAGGCTTTGTAGAATAAAGAAGGCTATGCTCAAACACGAGTGTCATGCACACGATGGTACCATTTGCGGGCTTGTAAACACTCGTGCTAACTTCGCGAGCACCGAACAACTCAAAGCCGTATAAAGGTACTATTGCGAACATGCTGCATGTGTCTGAGGCTTATCGCTTTCGTTTGTTTCTGTTTCTAGCTCTAGTGGGACTCGGGCCCATCATAATCTTTGAGTTGAATACGAGCCGTTACCCGAATGTTTGGCGATACTATCTGTCATGAACCAGAGCATTCGACTCGGGATCATGACATTCGGGTACATCATGGTGTCACGTGACTCTCAGTGCGAAGTTGTGATGTCATGTGACGTCACGGTATCAACAACGTTAATAGATCTAGCGACGTCCTCAATTCGAATCGACTTAACGCGGTGAGTCACGTGACGTCACGGGGTCACGTGATATGACATTACTTGACATCATGACGTCACGTGACAATGTGACACATGGCTAATCATAGTGCCAATAAGAAAGCGCCGCAAAAAACCAGGATTTATTATACATTGCAATTCTGTATATGACGATTTGATCAATACGTAGAGGAATACACGTGCCAATAATAATAAATTTGTAATACTAACAAAAAAAATACCGTGAACCGTTTTGAACCGGTTACCGTTATTTTTTTTTCCGGTTCAGTTCCGGTTCAGTTTTAAGATGGCGGCGAAGATTTCGGTTCGGTTCAGTTCCGGTTCGGCTAAAAATAACGGTTCTGTTCCGGTTTTCGGTTCGGTTCGGTTCCGGTTCGACACCCTGATCAGGTGTCGAACCGGAACCGAACCGGTATTTTTTCCGGAACTGAACCCGAACCCGAACCGTTATATTGTTTCCACGATGAACCCGAACCGGAACTGAACCGGAAAAAAAATAACGGTTACCGGCTCATGTCAAAACGGTTCGGCCACGCGCTGTTGACAATGAATGTGCTATCAATGCTATTGTTTTTTTAAGTGCCGTCAACTGACACACACCTCGCTTGCATATTTTTCTTCTCCACTCAGTCTTAGGAATATAAACGCTGCATCCATGAATCTTGACAAACGCTGCATCCATGAATCTTGACATAGGAACCAGTATTGCGCTAGTCGCGGCTTGCACGGAAGAAAAAGAATTAAAAGACTGTGCAAAAAAAAAAAAAGTCGCTTTACGGGATTTTATTTTCCTACAATCTCGTAAATCCTAAATTGCTGCTGTGTGCTCATTTCATAACACGTTTCTAGAACGTGATGTTGCAATTTTTTTTATTTTTTTTTTTATTTTGATGTTATTTTGATTTTGTTATTTTGATGTTGCAATTTGTCATTTATAATTTCCGAACCGGTTCGCGAACCGGTTCAGCGCCCCGAACCGGTTCGCGAACCGGTTCGCGGATCGAATTAGTCGAACCGGAACTGAACCGGAACAAAATAAATTTACCTGAACCTGAACCGTAACCGAACCCCTATTTTTTTCGGTTCGACACACTGATATATATATATATAAACAGTTGCACAGTTACGTGATATATATATATATATATATATATGTATATATATATATATATATATATATATATATATATATATATTTATTTATTTATTTATTTATTTATTTACTTATTTATTTATTTATATATACGTATTTGAAACTTTTTAGAAGCCACAAAAAATGTGTGTCATGTTTTCAATCTATTTTTAGTATAGAGCGCGTGCCTTCGATGACCCACGACTTTGATTAGTTTGGTGGTTGTGTCTAAACCATAGAAAACGGCACGTGACCATGGAGGAGAGAGTGAGCGCGACTTAAAACGGCCAGTTCACGATCGGTGGTTTTCGGGCAAAAAGAAAACGAATTTCGAGCCGCAAATTGTGCTCGGGGTAGTTGGGCTCTCATCTGCCATGTACAAATAAAAACCTTGGCGAACACAAATACCCTGTCAGTGTCCCTTCAAGAGTGTAAACTGTCATTGCGTGTATTCCGGAACGCACTGTTCCTGTCATTGTTGGCATCTATCGAGCTCGGGGCCACGGCATTACAACGCTTCTGATTCGTCGTCGCAGGTGCCGCGCCGTGATCCTGCGCCACGCTGGACCGGACGCCATCCGCCAGCTGCGGTTACCCCCGCGGCTCGAGCGCTACCTGCTGCACCAGGAGGAGCCCCCGCAAGAACCCTTCCATCTCGAACCCTCGGACACGACGACGACACAGCACGACAGTTCGCCCCCATCTCCGCAGAGGGCGCTGCCACTTAGAGCACCCAGTCTCGTACGCGTGTAACGCACTCACTGGTTTCGATCTCATCCTCTTGACTGTCCTCACGACGCTGCTGAGGTAAAGCCAGCGAGCAGTCATCTTGCCAGTACCAATAGTTTTTTGTCAATGTAGGGCGGGCCGACAACATGCTGTCAGTGAAGCCAGCTCTAGGCAACATTACTGTGTCAACTAAGTTGCGCAACTCGTACGAACAAGCGAACCCTCTTTCATCCCCAAGGGCCACCACCCGTCGTCCGAAGCGCCATCTAGAGGCTGTGATTCAAAAACGGTATTCTTTGGAGAGTAAATGGCCAACAGCCATCTAGACTCTGTGCTTAAAAACCTGTGTATTTTATAGACTACACTGCAATTAGTATAAACAGCCGTCTCCGAAACCGTGGCGCTTCGAACGATGGGAGGTGAATCAGTGAAAAAGAGAGGGGTTACTATGACGGGAAGCAGCGTCTATGAGCAGTTCTACAGCCAAGTTTATCTATACGTCGACTCCGGGTGTTCAAAGAATCGCATTAGATTTCCTTGACAAAGTGTAAAATGTTGGCTCCCAACATGGTCATTGAATAGTTACGTAACGTAAGTACCTCGGTGTGAAGTATTTTGGTGCGAAGGCCGCTAGTGTGCCCAATCGTTTCTACGCCCGCCTTATTGTGCGAAAAGAGGTTATACGGAAGCATAGAAGTCTAGATGGAACTATGATAGGCCACTGACATATAGCTTCACTAAATAGTACAAGAAAGCGAAATTAAAGTGCCCTCAAAAGTGAGAGCACCTGCAAAGCGTTATTGTGCGATTTTACTGCTTGATTTCTCCCTCCGTGCGAGCGTTTTATTTTATGTGCACACCAAATTCGTACATAAAAAAAAATATTCATTTCTTTTTTAGGCTAAGGCTTTCCAAATTACTCAAATAGACTATCAGAGGCGCAATTTAATATTTCTTACAACGCTTTTCGTTTCAGGGGAGATGGGTTTATTTATAAATTAGCTTTGCAACTTCAGGTCAGAGAAAATGACCCAGTTTTGAATGTACGCTCCGCGGTTCACCCATAGACAAGAATATCCGATCGCGCTAGACTTCGGTGGTGGCAAAATGTCTGCTTCGCAGCTTTCTCGACACAATGGTGCGACATGAAGGACGTAGCGTCCATAGAGATCAAAGGTGTATTGGACCAAAAAATGGCCTCCCGCCGTTACGGATGAGTGACCGACTCTAGTCCCCGGAACTTGGCTACAGCCTTTGCAGTGCGGCTATTTGCGTGCACATCGCTGTTGGCTCGTCTTTTCCGCTTGCACTTTCTATTTATTCTGCTACTTAACTGGGACTGGGCTACTGTTCAAAATCAGAAATATAGAGGGAGAGAGGGAGAGGTGAGAGCACGCCGAGACATCAAAGGGCCAAGCTCTGATTTGAAGGATAGTGAATAGAGACATGGGCTAGGTGCTTTTGTGTCTACTCATTGTTCGAACGTGGTTGAACGCCGAACGCCACCGTCCGGCGTTCGAAAGCCTCGACTGCGTGAAGAGCAGACGACGCTCTTGTTCGCTTTGACTGGAGGGAGACAGAGGGTAAAGGTGAAAGCATCAAGCCTTAGCGCCTACCCATTAATCAATCCAATCAAAGCTTGGCGGTCTGACGACCCCGCGCGCGTCGGAGGCAAGAAGTATCAGATTGCTCGCCTCGATTAAGAAAACAACGACAAGAAAACTATGACAGTGTATGTACACGCGCAATGTCGCCCGGTCCCAGATATTTATTGTATTTATTATAGTAGCTAGCAACCACTAAATACCCTGCGTGAAATAAAAAAAGAAAACGCTGGAAAAGCTTTAGTTGCCAATCCTGATGGCAGGCGGACTGTCCGCCGAACGCGCAGTGAAAATTGTTCGCGTTCCGTGAACTCGTCGTGCCATACGCGATACTTGAAGGTCACAAGAACAGTCACTTATTTTGCTCGTGGCTTTGTCTCTACAATAAAAAAAAAGAGTGACTTGCAGGAATTGTGCAATGAGTCGTCTTTTTCTTTACTATATGGACTGCATGCTCGTAGATTGTAAGGCTATTTACGGGCCGTACCAACACCACCTAGAATATATGCAGAGCCTGAGAAAAGCCTCCTCTACTTCCATAGAACGTCATCACACATACAAGTGCATTCTTTTGAACTTATTAATATATTTGTTAAAAAAAAGACGCGAAAGCCACATTAATGTGGTTGTGCATGTAGGTTCTTGACATAGATAGAAAAACAATATGGAAATGATGAGCAAACCAAAGTTTCAAATTCGCGTTTAAAATGCACGTAGTTTTAGAAATGCATCTAAAGACGTATTTTGGGAAATTGAAAGACACTTGCATGTATGTGATCGGACACACTTTCTCTTGAGAACCACAATAAAGTAAACAAGAGTGCTTGCTAAAAATTACAGGTACGTGACAGTTTACAGAAGACTGCTATCTATTTAGCCATGCCCATTATTTAGCCATTTAACCACCGCGTGCTATGATACGTTAAAATATCTCGCGCAACTCTGCGACTCGATAACGTTTGTAAGCTGAGAGTATGTAGGCATAGGCATTAAAACACCATTGCCAAAATATCGATCGTAAACAATCCGTATAATTTCTTTTTTTTTTTTTTTACTTTAATATACAACGCATCAATTGCTGTCAGAGAATTCCACGACGCTCGGAAACTCAAGGCGAGAACCAATCGGGCTTCAAATAAACGAATAACACACATGAATTCAAATATTCCGGCAGCTGTCGAAGGTCAAATTACGCCCAGCAATCTTACAGTTGAACCAAGAATTCAAGCGATGCTATACCAGAGTTACATGGGCATCCTTAACCGCAGCTAAGCAGCGAAGTGTTACTAAGGTCAGACTTAACTGTTTGTAAGGATGTCAGACGGGCATCGATCCTAAACCCCAATCACGCTTACATGTGGTGAGCAGTTACTCCCGACTATGTGCCCTAGTTGCATGGGCATCCTTAACCGTAGTTAAGTCTGCCCTCGGTCAGACTTAACTGCGGTTGAGCATGTCCGTGTAACTATGGTTAAGAAAAAGAAAGATTAGTATCAAAAACACCAAGGTTACGAACTACAGATACGCGTAAGATAGGAGTGGAACTAAGAAAGTATTGTCCTTAAATCGCCTCCCGTCCGCTACACATTGATAGCGCTTTGGTTTCATCATGATTGATGAACAAGAAAAAAGTTCGCCTCCAATCAACGCTGTAACGCTGTGGTATCACCTGCAAAGATTGGCCAATGCACCATACGAAATACCGCCGCTGGTCGCAGCACGCCGCTGCTGGTCGTGTTGCCGTTTCTTTTCCCTTTGCCGCTCCTTGTAGTCAAGCTGCTCCTCGCTGCCAGACAGTTTACGCCATCTTATCAAGTTGTTACACCACTGATACGCGAACACACGGTCACATCGGCGATAGTTTAAGTCTTCTGTTCACAACGCACAACATTGCCATCGAGATGTTGCTGCTATGTTGCTGACACGCAGAAATACAGTACCACGTCGATTGCCGATTGGCAGGGCATTGGAAAACAAAACCGAAATTAACACAGAAGGCACCCAAGAACCCGGCAGCAAAACCTGCCTGTCTTGGACGCAGTTTCCGGGATTTCGATAACGGCGTCAACGTCGGCACATCAATCCGCGTGGTCCCGCGTGGGTTCCGCAATCCGGAGACGGCCATGCGGCCATGCTAGCCCAGTGTACGTTGCGCTGCTGGCATTGCTCCGGAACTTCGCTGTTTCTAGCGGCTTCGTTTGCTCGTTTGGTAAAATCAGTGGCAAAAACGTCAGTGCAACCGAAATGTTCTGCACGTTTGGACTGGGAGACAAAATTACAGGCGGCTTTCGTTGCCGCCTGAAGCTCAATCAACTCAACAACATTTATGAAACAACGTGCGCGACGTGCTCGAAAAATGAAACCGAAAAAAGATGAGTTTGGAGGGCAGAAGCTTTCTCCCGTCTGCCTGGAGAAGGAGAAAAAAAGTCTCGTTCCTCCCCTTTTCTCGTGTCCGCTTGGAGGCCCGTCAGTAGAAGGGAGGAAGACGCGGCGTTGCTACCTTTTTCCTTCCTTTTTTTTCTGAGAGTGTGGGAGTCGGGGGCGTTGGTAGACTTTGATGCGTCATCTTGAGCTAAAGCAACGGGGAGCTTCGTGGTTGTAACTTGCTCTGAGACGATGGGGCTCGTCGCGGCGGAGACTTGCGCTTGAATGATGACTTGCACGGGACCGTCCATAAAAACCTCGTCGGGTGACTTCTCGGAGGTATAGGGTGACATACGAAAACTCACTTAAAGAATCACCGGAGGGCCTGTCACCTGGGGGCGGTGGCCGCCCCCAGGTGACAGCCCCTGGACGGATGGGGAGGTCCAAATCGTCGTTGAACTGCTCACGAACGAAAGGATCCTTGCCTGCGGCACCCGCGACGGCTGGTGGGGTCAAGGGGCTTCCCGCTGGGTAGGCCACAGTGGCGTAGCACCGACGCTTTGTACAGTCCATGGTAGTGTGGGCGTGGCCGCATATCAATCAAGGAACGGTGCAGCCCGCTGTTGGACGCCCATAAACGGCGCAAAGGTCCCACTGTGGGGCCTTGCAGGATGGCTCCATGCGCCCTTCTTGTCCGCGCCTGCTGCACAGAGGTCGTAGGCCACGATAATGATACTCGTTGGTTGCCCTTGGATGGTGAAGAAGTTTGGAATCGGCTTCGTCGTTTCCACCTTGACCACCCCAGTTCCGGTCAAAATGTCGGAACGGTTTCGGTACGACACGTACGTGACAGAATTTACTTCCCCGTTAGGGCTGATCGCTTGCACGACGGCTTCCTCCGTGACATACGGCGGGAAACGTGAAGGAGCTAGGTGCCGGCTGCTTCGAGCGGCAGCGCAGCGTATCGGAGCACCAAGTTTCTTTGGGCTACAAGGAAGTTCGCTGCACTGATGCTGGTCACCGACGACATAAACCTTGCTCCACCTTGGTGTTGCAGGAACTTCAAACTTCCGGAACGGGCGGTTAGTTGAAGAGCGTCTATAATCTCGTTGACTGCGGTGTCGGCAGGGACGCTTAACGAAAAGCCCATACATTTGGTTGGTAGCACCGCAAACGTCATGATTAAAAAAAAAAAAAAAAAGAGGAACGCCGTGGTCCACGAACAAACCTGGTTTCGGGGACACAACAGCGAGGCGAACATGGACCGGGCGAGACATCAACAACGAGGCGAGCGTGATAAGAACAGAACGCGATAAGCGAACGCCAGCAAGGGGAATAAAAGGGATAAGAAAAACATTGTATAGAATAGAATACTAAGTATTCAATAAAGTCCTGAATATGTTTTCATGACTAGACCCTAACCTAAATTTTATTACAGAAGTCTAAGGTTCATTACGAAAGGTTATGTGAACGCTTGTAGCACGATTCCACCGATGTCCATTGCCGTGTCCCAAATGCATCGTGTCATTTCCATAGTGTTCCGTTTTCAAAATCCCCATATCGTTTGCCTTGTGTTTTCTAGATTTTTCTTGTTTTGTGAGAGCCGCTGCTTTGCAGTTCAATGCCCAAGATTTGCACATCTCCAGGCAGTCGTCTCACCTTGATTCTTCCGCTAAAATATATATTTGAAGCCGTCTACTATTAAAATGTCCCTCCCTTTCTGAGCTATTAGAAGTTCAACCTCCACCTCTTGACTTCGATTTGAAAACGTTCACTCTGGACAGTTCCTTAAAGCAATAATTCAACGAAATTTGAAATATAGCAGTCATGTTCAAAAATAGGCTGAATGTGATCCACAATATCCGTAAATGAGCTCAAAATACAATTTTTGGCTGTATTTTTCGTTATAAACGGCCCACTCTTTCAAGTGCTCAGAGAGCAGCCAGCGGACAGCACGTGACATCCGGCGCAATCGCGACGTAGATTGTCTCGGGACAAGCAAAGGTGCGGCGAGGCTGACGTCAACAGGATGTCCTAACCGTTCCAGCTACCAAAGCGGCCGAAGCACGCCAGCGATCGAGTCACCGCAACTAACCCCAAGTCTGCTTTTGTACGAATTTTGACTGACGGGTTAATCTTCTGTAATCTTGCAGAGGCACAATAGCGCAGTGTTGCCATCTTTTTTGTGCGCGCGCCGCTAAATTGAGCCCAGTAAGTCACTTAACAGTCACTAGATTCGCCAGGAAGTCGCTAAAATATTCGCTGAATCCCAAAAACCTATTAAACCCTTTTAAATTAAGTGAACCTCAAATAATCATATCTCAGGTATTTTGAGAGTATTTTGAGACGTCGCTATTGAATAGCGACGTCTTTGACCCACGAAAGAGAGTCCCGGTGGGCGTGGAATTTCTCCTTCCCCTCTTCTCTCCTGGTGGCGAGAGGCGAGACAGGCATCGTCACTACCTGTCAAGGTTCGTAGAGGGGCATTACAAACGAGGCTTTAGAGACATTTAGCAGGTGCTCTATGCTAATCGTTTAATTCGTTTAAAATTCCATTTCGTGACTTTAACAAGAAATTGGTGCGCCTGATCTTATGCTGCTCTCTTGAACACGAATGGACCAAAAATTAAGCGGGGAAATTTCATTGCAGTATCCCTTTAAATTGACCCTGAAAAAGTGTTTTCTTAAGCAGTTTGGTTTGAACACGCATGTCAAGAAATTATTTTTACGACAAAAAATATTTCAGTGTAATATTCGCAACTTGCACGACCTATAGGGGGCGCACTGGCGCGTATCAAAATGGCTGTCATCTGTATGATCGTCGTAGAACAGCAGTACGAGACTGGGTTTGCGAAGTGTAAGTGATTATAGTTTTGCTATATACGAGCAGTATCAAAGCCTTACTTTATTTGTTCGCGCCAGGAAGGTGAAGGCAAGCCAAGTTATTTTGAGGCCAATCATCCAGGTGCTAGAAAGCGCGATTCTCACACTGCGACACCACCATCGCTGAAAGTTGGAAATTGACGGCGCGAGATTTATTTTAAAAT